CAATTTTTCAGGAACCTCTGACCGAAAACACTGCGATGAAAATGCTTTTTGCACGACAGTCTGTTGAAGATAAAACTCAAGTTGTCGATGATGTCCTTTCTCTTTTCAAAGTCATCTTTAGGGGAGTTCCTGATTCTAGTCATCCCTAGAAAACAACCAGCCTTCTTTAAAAGATAATTGGACATTTTTTATCATATCTGTGAAGATTCACAGTTATCCAGGTCATCGTCAAGCTTGAAAAAGTTCAGTTAAGGGAAATTAGAAGACGTTTCGCCTCTCATCCAAGGGGCTTCGTCAGTTCGAACTAGTGGTGGGGAGCCCTGAAGAAGTCTCTTGGATGAGAGGCGAAACTTCTTCTAAAAAATTTCACGTCCAGTTGCCTACACTAAACCATTTCAAGATACATTTTTATCAAGTTAGTTGCTGTTGCCCAAACAGATCATAGCAGAAAAGATCATTCATTTTATAGAAAATATGCAACGTCTTCCTGCAAACTTAACCTCTTGGAATCCTGATCTTCCTTAAGTAGTCTGGGCTGCTTTGACACTGCCAGAAGACATTTTCAGTCTAGTTTGTTGTCCAAGTGAAGGCTGATATTTATACTCCTCATCCACATATGCTAACTTACAGTATATAGAGTAAAATGTAGAAAAGCAAATTGCTCTTTGAATAATAAACTGTCCTTTTCATATGCTTTTTTTGTATGACATTCAAAGGGTGAGCAAACACATTGTAGCAATAAAGTCTATGCTTCTTCCAGAAACTCTTGAGTTTTTAACCAGAACTTTGATGACAAAGTGGTGTGAAGTAGGGGCCAGCAGACAAGCCTCATTGATGCAGATCCAGGCGGATGATGACACGGTCATGATGCAATGGGGAATGAGGAGGAGGGGAAGACAAGAGGTTCAGGCAAATAGAGTGATTGGTGAGGGGAGTATTCATTTAGGAAGACAAACAGCTTCATTTAAAGTTAGCCAAGCACAGAGACACCCTGCAAACTGCAAATGGGTTGAAATTTGCATCTTTTCACTGATGGGGATCCAACTTTTATCCTCACTCTCTTGGTCTCCCATCTGAGATAATGGATTATCTAGGGTGCAGAGTGAGAGAGCCTTCTGTCTTTGATTTACTTTTAAACACATTTTCCATCTGCTTTTTTTTCCAAAGTAATTCTTTTCACTCCTGATCTGCTGCTGATATTGTAACGGCCTTATTTATCTACAGTATATAAGGAGCATTTGCTGTTTTGTGTCATTCCTTGAGAGCGTGCACACAGAGATCGTAGTCATTTCACGACTATTACACTGTAGAAATGACAAACTCTGTACCATTACATTTGATTCCTACTTATCTTTCACCATTACAATCTGCCGATGGTTTTTACAGCTGAGAATGAAATTAAAGTTTCGAGCTTGGCAAACAGATCATAAAGATTGTCTGCTTAACAGTTCCAGTAGTAGATATGATTTCTCAGCAGCATTCCATACATTGGTACTAAGCACAAAGAACATTAGTGAGGGAAATATGGGGCAAAGCGGGTCTGTCATCATTTCTCTGAGAAATTTAAGTCCTCTATTTTGATCATTTGATTTTCTCAGTTAATGTCATCAAAGGGTATATATTATATATATTTTAACACCTCATTCAAAGTGTAATAAAATTTTTTTCAGAATCATATTAAAACTGTGCCATGTAAGTTTTGGCCAAAGTTTTAACGTCTTTACTCCCACCAGTTTGCCGGCACTCTGTTTTGTATATTTAGATCAAACACATCAGTACGCTTGAAAATAATCATTTAAACTTTTACCAATTTTTGACAATTTTTGACATGTCATACATCTTAGTTAATTTTATTAGAACCAAGAGCAACACAGCACATTAATAAAGATAGCAGCATGTTAAATCAAAACTAAAGCTTTGACTTTCTACATTTGAAGCGTTCCTGAGGCCGTATTATAAATCCAGTCTTAGATTTTTTATATTCCATTTGTCGGTAAGGGTCCACAGATAAAAAGTAATCCAGCATATTCGTAATAAAAAACATTCCATTGATGAGAAAATCGCCACATAAAGTCAGTTTTTTACCATCAGAAAACTTTGATCTTCTTAGCTAATGTTAACCGTCTTGCTAATTACCCTGGTTTCAACAAACATTTCATGTCAATGTTGGGTATGTTTGTTTTCCTCACCTCCCAGCCTACAAAACAACATTGTTGTGAAAAAAAAGATTTGCTGAGTATTTATGGTTATATTAATTATATGGATCCCCATTATTTATCATAAGCTTGACAACTACTCTTCTTGGTGTTTTACAATGCACTTATATAACATCATTACATTTGCATGTCCAAAAAATGGAAATAAATACATTGGAAATGAATTAAGACAGAAAACCAGTTCTAAAATATATTTGGAAAATAAATTTACTTTAAAGTGTTCAAGTTCTTTTTTACAGCTGCCAGAAACTGGCATATTCTATATATATATATATATATATATATATATATATATATATATATATATATATATATATATATATATATATATATATATATATATATATATATATATATATATAATAAAGAAAAACTTTATATTTCATTGATAAGCCTATTCCATGAGATATCGTGGATGATACTGTGATGAACTCACTTCTTGTTTAAAGCAGTTCACAGGGAAATATTTTTTGTTTAAGCTATTTTGAAATCTGTCTTTCTCTGTTTTGATGGCTGAAGAAAGCCTCCTTTATGGTCTATAATCTGGATAAAGGGAGGCACTCACCCTGCAGCTGAGTTGACTGTGAAATTTATTGCGGCTTAGGTCCTATCTGCAGTTTAGGTCAACAAAGAGAAGAAAAGGGAAGGACCAGATTAATGACCAGTTGTACCTCCACCACCCCAAGCAATACTTGTCATCTAGGGTCAGATTGCTTCGCATTTGAATTTCAATTAAACGCCCCTCACTTTGACATGGCTTATCTTTACTGACTTTATAAGCTGGACTGTCTTTAGTCTTTTTGTATTTCTGAATAATACATATTTGTACATTTTTGTCGCAATCCACAAGCCAGACTGTGACAGCGACACAGTTCACATACGCTCCCCCCTCCCACTATACCATCACCAAGGGGCTGGAGCAGCCACCGTCCTGGAGCCAGAAGGCTTCCATCAATCAAAAAAAGAAAGACTGCACCTTCCATCTGCCGATGGCTCCTTTGCAGCCTTTAAGATTGCTTGTCTCCTTTAAAAAACATTGCATTCAAGTGTAATTCATTTATTTATCTAACTCTTTTGATATTGATGCCTAATGGCTCTATAATCTGATGATACTTCTAATGAGCTGGAATTATGCTACTAGTATCACCCCTTTCAAAGTGATATCAGTGCTTATATGATGACCACTTCATACAATTAAAATGTAGAAAGTGGTATGTGGTAAAACTTTTAAGGTTAAAAAAAAGAACATTTCACACACAATCCATTGTTACACGGTGTTGTGCCTAACACTACAACATCCATACAACAGCTTCAACTAAATTGTCTGTTGTTGCTATTTAAGAGGACTTGTGAATCTACATTGACAGAAAAAGGATATTTTTTATTCTCCTTGACATCTTTGCGACTTTGCCTCTCATCTTCTTGTCAAGGTGTTTGAGTGCTTGTTTTACATGTATAGAATGAAAACCAGCAGAAGTTGTGTACAATGTGTGTCTACAACGAACATTGGGGGTAAAAACGGAAACTAAATAATCTTTTAAAGGTCAGCATGGAGCTAACCTCTCTCTAAATTTAGTTAGGTGAAGTTGTTGGTTCATAAAATACATTTGTATAGGTTTTCTATGTTTTGATTATGTCTAGAAGAGTTCATTGCTGCCTGACTCCTGGAACTATTTTGTATTAACCTCTAATCACAGTAGCTCGGAGAACCATTACAGAGAAAAACCAAGTAGTCCTTTAACCCAACATTTGTCAGTAAGGCATTATCTCAAACACTGAAGAAGATCAGAAATGAAGGATCATAATGGTCTTTTTCACACTACGGTCATATTATGTGGATTTTGTGTTATTACCTTTGATATTTAATTTTAATTTTTAAAGTCAAGTTCATGTATACAAGGCATTTAAGATTCTTTTTTGGTCCAAAAAAGGATATTTTAAGTACAAATGTGCATTTACTATGTTTCAGTAAATGTCTGTAAAATGTAGTTTTACAAAGAGGAGGACATTGCTGGGTTGGTGTCAGTAAGCATGACACTGATGTCAATAATCTGACTGTTCAGTGTCCCTGCAGAGTAACAGCCTGGTGGAAGAAACTGTCTCTGTGGTGGCTCCTGCTTTGTAAATAGCACTCTGTAGTAGTGTCACCTGAAGGTCACAGTCTAAACAGATTTCGGCCAGGGTTTGTGGCGTCTGCTGAGATGCTAGTTGCTGTTTTCCTTACCTAAGACATGTACAGGTCCTGGGTGGAGGGATGGTCAGCCCTGATGATCCTCTCTGCAGACCGGATAGTTAGTTTTAGTTGTAGATGAGCCAAACTATGCAGAGATGGACTAACACAGAACAGACTGTGTTATGGCATTGTTGAATATAACCAGCAGCTCCTATAGAATGCTCTACTTTCTTGCTGTTGGGAGTCTCCGCTTGGTAGTTCTTGGAATAAGAAGAGAACAATAGATGTTTTTTAAGCGGCTGAAGGATGGTAAGGTTGGATTATCTTGAGATGTCCTCTATCATTTCCACAGTGATTCTGACTCCCCTGGCAGACTGTGAATTGAACACTTAGAGAACATTCTAATTCAGAGTAATCATGGCGTCATTATGGCGTTTTGCTGCACATTCATTGTATTTTTACTCCTTTCACATCTCTTGCTGCCGTTGCTTTTCACAATCTTTTCAGTTAGGATCATCTCAGCCTGGAGCAGATGAGAGAATCTTGGCAGGTGATTCAATGAATGCTGGTCATTGCGCTGTCTTTATAAAGTTTTTGTTTTCTTTTTCCAGGCACCCCTCCAGCCACAGGGACAGGTACACTGATCATTCATCTGGAAGACTACAATGACAATGCTCCGTTTGTGGTGCCATCTGTAGCACAGGTGTGTGAAGATGCTAATGATTTGAATGTAGCCATCGTTGGAGGTCGGGACAAGGACCTGCCGCCAAACGCAGCACCATATAAGATAGAACTGGGAAAACAACCAGGCCTGGATAAAATATGGAGGGTCACCAGACTCAACTGTGAGTATTAACCATTAAAACTATAATGATAAAATAAACACATCAAGTATTTATTATAGAATTTACTGAAACTTAAATGTGAACCCCAACCCCCAATTACCTTAATATTAGATAGAATTTCTTTTAAACTGTATGACCAGGGTCAAATGTTTTTTTTTGGCTTTTTACCAGAAGTTTCTCACAATAGTTTTGTGTAATTCTGGCCCAATCGTTCTGACATATGCATGTTTGGCCCAAGTGCAAAAAAATATTACTTAGATCAAAGAGCATATTTTCAATAAAGTGAAGTGTTTAAATGCAACTGCTGGAGTCTCAAATAATTTATTTGGATTCGAAAACTTTCTTCTATGATTGAAAAATTTTTTATTGAAGTGTTTTTTAATTGATTTGTTGTTTGTTTGAACAACTTCCTTTTTGATTGAACGATAAAGACATAAACGTCCTACCCATTATATTGTCCAATCAAAAACCAACGTTACTTAAATTTAAAAAGTTGCTTTAAACAAAACAAACTTCAAGTATATATCAAAGAAAAACATTTCAATCAAAGAAAAGCAGTGTTCAAATTTATTTTTTATCAGTCTCAACTATATTTTTGCATTCAAATACCTTTTTTCTTTGATTGAAAAGGTTTTTTTTTTTCATTGAAGTGACAGCGTTGTTAATTGAAAACATATTTTTTAATTTGAAGCTACATTTTTTAAAATTTAATAATAAAGACGAAAATCTACCTTCATACTAACAGAACAAAAATTATTAAATCAAAACATTTGTTAAGCAATATAACATCACAAGGATTAAAGGACTAAGTAACAAGAACATGATAAACAATCAGATTAACAATAAAACAGCAAATAACGGAAAGTCTGGCTTTTTTTATTGTTTTCTCTGTAGTTTTAAGCTTTCTGGAAGACTTAAAAAAGGAAAGGAAGTTTTCCAGAGTATAGGAACTGCAGCTAGAATGCTCTATTTCTTCGGGTCTCAAGTCCACAGAGAGTTGCTGATCTTCTAAAAGCCATAGCAGAATATCTATGGCAGAATATATATATAGAAGCTTAGAAAGATAAGGACATGCCAGATCCTTTTGAATATATAAAAACCCAGAAAATGTTTTAAGAGGTGGAGGAAAAAGTTAGGTTTTTTTTTTTTTTCCTCACACCCTTTCAGCTCTTCTCACTAAGTTTCTCTCCAGCTGACATTTTGACTGTGATGACTGCAGCAAATTATAGACATTTTGCAGCTGATCTGGGGGGTTTGTCCATTTGTAAGACCCATTTGTGTCTAAAGTTTGGGTTCCTGGATAGTCCCCTGAAACATTGCTTTAATGTTGATATATAATATCATATAATGTTCTTCATAGTTATTCAATTCAAAATCACCTTATTATTTCCAAAGGAAAATTAATGTTGCAGTAATTTATAGATTTTTTTTAACCAGTTGTTGTAGGTGTTGATAGCTGTAGGCAGGAAGGCTCTTTGTATCTGTCTGTCTTTCACCGGTTCTGGAGAAGCCTCTGACTGAAGACACTTTGCTGTTGTCTTCTTAAGAGGATGCTGTAACTTTTCTACAATCGTCTTCACTTTATGAAGAATTCTTCTTTTTTTTTCGGGAAATAATCTCCAGAGGTTCTGGATGAGTTCCTAGAAGAGAGCCAGGCTTCTTTTTAAGCTTGGTGAGCTCTTTTAAGTAATTTACTATGACGCTGTTACTCTAGCAGATGATGGAGGAAGAGAGCCCACTCTGCAAAGCAGAATTAAACCAGTACCTGGTTTAATAAAGATATGTCTCATTTTGCTGCAAATACAGAAGGCCCTAAGCTTCCCCAGGAAGTACAGTCTGCTCTGTTCCTTTTTATACATGGCTTCAAAGTTGCGTCTCCTATCTAGTTTGATCGTCCAGGTGAACAGCAAGGTATTCATACTCCTCCAACTCCTCCTCTTCTTCTTCCATTATGTTAATAGTTTTTTTAATGCTTTTTTGGTACTATATACAGTTTTGTAATATTGTCTGTTGTAGTTTTATCTTTAATGGCTTTTTGCGTTAACACTTTGTACTCTACATAAGCTACTGGAACCATAATTTCCCTGGAGGAGTAATCCCAAGTAAATAAATAAAGTTGATTCTAGGTCTAAGTCTAAGTCTATAGGTTTCAACTTGATCCTGTTTCTTCTGAAATCTTAATTCATCTCCCTTCTGATGATGTTTTCCACAGTGCTCTATTTTGTAAGTGCAACAGTATATCATGAAGTAAAACCAAGCAAAAACACCATGAAGCTCCCACCACTGTACTCGAGAGGCAGAAACAAGACAAGGTATTTGGAAAACTATGGAACTTAAAACTAGCTTCTTCCACTGAACCAAAAACAGGAACACGGTGGGCTCAGCAGACAAGAGCCAGGACGTGTTCGGAAAACACCAAGACAAGACTAACAATCCTCTCTAAGCACAGAAAAAGCACATGAACTGTGGAAATCAGCCATGATCTCCAACTCAAGTGTACAAATAAACAGTCAATGATCTAGCCCCGATAGCTGGGCTGAGCCGTATATAAAGCAGCAGGAGCAGATGGAGGAATTATAATTAGTAACCAGGATGGGTTAAGCAGTTGAGTGAAGTGAGCAATTAGGTCAGCTGTCAGGACAGCGAACATGACAGAATATTTTTTACTCTATTGTATCTCTGCTTCTGTCTCCTTGAACCCCAGTCGGCCTCGGCAGATGGCCGCTCACACTGAGCCTGGTTCTGCTGGAGGTTTCTTCCTGTTAAAAGGGAGTTTTTCCTCTCCACTGTCGCTACAAGCATGCTTAGTGTGGGGGATTGTATTTGAGTCAATGAGTCAATGCAATCAACTGGTTTTCCTTAGATAGAAAACTTTGTATCAATTTGACTGTATGATCTGGTTGAACTGTAAAGTGCCTTGAGATGACATGTGTTGTGAATTTGGCGCTATATAAATAAACTGAATTGAATTGAATTGAATTGAATATCTGTTTTTAAATTTATAACCCACTGGTTACTTTTAATTTGTCTTTCTTTTCTATTTCACTACTGTTCTTCTCAGCAAGAGCCCCGTAAAACAGAGGTGTCCAACAAATCCCCTCAGGGAGAGCAAAGCTAAACACAAATTAGCACAGAAGATGCAAGTGTTGCAGATAACATTCATGCTTCAGCTCATCAGACCACATTTCATTTTTTAAGAGTCCTTACAGATTACAAAGCAGAGCCAGCTTAAGTACAAATGTTCATACAAATTGCATGAAGAAGGTGACAAGAAAAATGACGCATTGAGGGGAGTAGAAATGAAAGAAATTAAATCAGAGTGGCATGAGTGAAAGCAGTGTCTGTGTGTGTTTGAGTGACAGAGCCCAGCTAAAACCTCCTCAGAGGTATTTGCTGTGACTGACAGAGGAGAGAGAGCTACAGACAGTCTACAGTGCTAGAGGAGACGGATAGGGCCAGCTGAGAAAGAGCCCGGTTTTAGTGATATGGACTCCTCTGTGCTCATCTCAGCAGGCTCTGCATCCGTTTTGTGTAGATCAGTGGGATCCGGTTGTTATGCGCCTCAGCAGTGTCTCTGTTTTTGACTTTGCTGAGAAACATTAAGTAAATTCTATTAAAATCAGTCTTTTAAAAAAAAATTATTTGTTGCATGTGATAGGATGAGTTTTCTTTCCATTGTCATCAGTGTAGCTCATGGGCATGAGATGAACCAAGCTTGCATAATGTGTTGGTTTGCAGTTATTAAAATAATCCTCTATTGTTTTTTACTTGTTTCAGCGGCAATGGGAAAAAATCACAACAGGAGACACAACTTTTGCTCATTTATTGAAAAACAGAATTTCCAGATGAAACAAAATGTGCAACTAAGAATGATAAGGCCAAAAATATACAAATATGTTCCATCCAACAGGGACAAAGAATATGGTCAATACATAAAATGAAAACCATAAAGCTTTTCACAGGGCTCATCTGCAGAATCCTGAAATTTTAGGATGTTATTGATATAATTTAGCTCTGCCTTGAACAGCATCCTTCCTGACAAAATGAGCCTGAAGCTCCACAACCTGCCTCTCTCAGCAACTCTTTGCTCCCATTGGATGATCAGAAGGGTTACACACATCTGCCCTGCTGATCATCAGCACCGAAATACCACAGGGTTATGGTTTGGGCCCTGCTCTGCTATCCACCCTATAAACATAGCTGTAAAGTTTCCAGATAACACTGCAATGTTGGATCTCATATCTATCAATGATAAAAAAAACAACAACACAACAGAGAAGATGTCCATTATCTGAAAAAGTGGATCTCTTTATCAAATAGTGCACTTACCTGTTGGTGTTAGACTGAACACCAGCGAGACTAAGGAGGTAATAGTAGAAAAAAGGAAGTTCAGGAGGATTGAACAAGCTCCTCTCTCCAAACATTTGGAGGTGGTGGACAATGTGGACAGCAAAACAATTCTGTGTACTCATATCTTCTCTTCCTCTTTGAATACCCCTCACCTGGTAAAGAAGGCCCAACAACGGCTCCTCTCTCTCAGAAAGCTGAAAAACACATTTAAATCTTTACTCAAATGCTCGGAAACTTTTAAAGTACCACTACTGAAAGCATCCTGCTTCTCATTGTGGCTTTGTGGTATGGGAGTCTCACAGCACAGGTGAGCATGGACATGCCCAGAGGTGGAGCAGAGACATTGAATAAAGAGAATTTCATTAAAAACCAGTAGACTCACAAACAGTTTCTTACCAAAACAGTGATGGTAATCATCCCACAGCAAGCAGACACTAAACATCCCTGCTGAATATAAAATAAACCATGGGTCCATTTCACTGGCTTGTGTTCCAGTGAAAGTTGGACTATCTGCAAAAACTACATGCCACATTTCATGTACATATATTCTGTTATTTTTACATTTTTGATTATCTTCTCTAAGGATGTTCATTTTTTTTCAATAAGTTTATTTATATATAATAAATAAACTTATTGAATATTTTATGTGCATTTTGAGCCAGATACTGGCTCAACTAATGACCCATTCTTATTTTGACCTGAACTAAATGTACTTCAATTCTTTTGTTTTACATGTGCATAAAACAAATTACTCCAATGTGCTTGAACATTTACTGAATTTACTTTTATTTACATTTACTTTTAATATTGCTTAGTATGTGATAAAACTGCTGGCAGACAGATATGGTGCCCAGACAACCCTTCAAAAAGATACCGGTTGGATTCAAGCTTCCTACCTAACTTGTTTATATGTGATTGGGTGAGGCGCTTAACCTTTGTTTCCTCCTGAATTGGTAATCTGTGCTAATTTACTTTAAAACAGTTCTGATCTCTGAAGCTACTGTTTGGTTTCTCTTATTTGATGCAGCAGTATAAAGAAAGCATCTAAACCAACAAATATCATTTTCTGTCTCCCAAAATACTCCAGAAACCAGGAGGCTGATAAATTAAATCAGCTCTTTTTTATACTTAAATTAGTGTAGCAATTATGTTGGTGCAGAAGGGAACAAAACGAATTGTACCATGCCGGATGCAGAGATAAAACATGACCTTTAGAATCATTTAAGCTCAAAATAAAAACCTTTCTTTTTCTATTCTCACCAACAAGCACAGAAAATTTTTCAAACCCACTAAACTCTTAAGTGAATTTTCCGGTCTATCAGCAACAGGGTCAACAAGGCCTCACTGATGCCTACAGGAAATGAAAGCTAACAGAAACTGCTGTAGGTCAGATTACCAATCAGGTTAATGCTCGTCCTGAGAGACCTATAACTGATCTCAGTAAATTCTACAATCAGTGGAATGTTCAGGACAAACCTTTAAACCATGGGACCCCACTGCACAGCTTCCAGGATTTTAAGGATCTGCTACTTATTGAAGAAATAAGCATCCCTTTGCTTTAGTACCAGATACTAAAGTAAAGGAATCATAGCTTTACTTTGATGATGTGTTTTCAAATATGTAAAACGTAGATAAAAAGCAAAACAAAATCTCCATCTCTGTGCAGTGGCTCTGACCGTTTCCACCAAAATAGTCCAACAATGTTTGTAGGTGTTCTTTAATATTTCATCATCCTCCAAATCATTAAAAAAAACTAGCATGCTGTTCATCAGAGCTGTTACACTCATGCCAAAAAGCCTGGACCAGCTACTGTTTATTTGGGATTGACAGATAGTTTAGACCGCTAAAATTACTCTTGTTCTTGTTTAAAATTTTTAGATGTTTTATTTCACCAAAGGACATCTGCAGCTCTCTGCTTTCATAGTTCAGTTGTTTTGTTATGCTTAGTTCATGGTTTTGATTAAATCTAATATATTCTGCTAATGCAGACTTTTTTTCTTTGAATACCAAATGACATATTTATCCTGATTTAATAAAATCCTGAAAATGTCCTCCACTCTACACTGTGCAGCTTTGTATATTTTGTCTCATTACAGCTTGATGTAAACTGGCTTCACTGCTTTCTGCCAAAACCATAAACTCACTTAAAGTATGATGCAACAGAATGTAACCATCCCATGCAACTAAAGTGGCACCAATTTTTGTCACTTGAGTGTTAAGTAAAGTCTAAAATGGTAGGAACTTCAGGCTAACACACACACACAGTCCTGTTTTGTAGAAAAGATACTGTAATAATGCGTTGCAAATGAACAAGACAAGCAAAACAGACAGTTGCCATCAGCAGAACTTATTTTCCTTTCTTGTGTTTTTTGCAGCCACACACTCCCAAATCATGCTCCTGCAAAGTTTGAAGAAAGCCAACTACCAGCTCCCACTGCTCATCACTGACTCAGGGGTGCCACCTTTGTCCAACAGCACAGAGGTTAAAGTTCAGGTGTGCATCTGTACAAAGACCAAGAGATACTGCAGCTCTGCCCACTCCCACCGCACTAGCCTTGTTGTGCTGCTTGCAACACTCCTGCTCGTCCCACTCTGTAAGTACCATAAAACTACACCCACCCAGCTACATCCAGCTTAAGCTGTTTGTCATTTTAGAATTATCTACTGTCCAGATTTATAATATGGGTGAAAAATTAGGACACCCAGATAATGAGCTGTTTCAAAAGAGATTTTGACATCCAATCTGTTTTTTTATTTCCCTCCTACAAAACACATATGTGCAGTGTCTTTCCAACAGGACAGGAATGCAGATATCTAAAATGGCAGAATCTAGTTTTTTTAGTCAAATCTTATAAGACTTCATCTTGTACTTGATTGGAGCTGTTTGAGGTAGGACTAGTGTGGGGTTTCGTAATATATCCCTCACCATGGTAAGTAGGTTTTTTAATGACTGGCAGATTTTTAAAGGTCTTTTCTTCAGCTTTATTTATGCAGAATAGGCAGCATTAAGAGTGATATGAAATGGCCAACTGTCCAAATCTGCACACATCAACTTAATTGTAGTTTTCATTCCGTGGCAAAAAGCATCATTTATAAGAAACACATCACCGACCTTTGGCTGCTGGCATTCAATATTTGCGTGGATGTATGCAAAAACTATGCTTTGTTTATTTCTGCTTTTGATATAGCATCCAAGGCACACCTCCAGAAATCAGCCTTGTACTTACTTCAAATATCTTATTTAGGCCAAGCAATAGCATGAATAATTCATTCTCCTTCATGCACAACAAATTTTCATTTTTCAACTTCAAGAACCCCTAGTCTCTTTTCTCTTATCTAGACATCTTCTACCACAGTTTTTGGTCTGATTGCCTCTTTAATCTTTCCCCTTTGTAATATCAGCTCATTCAATTTTTCACATAGAAGGAAACGTCCAAGCTCAGCCTTTAACTTTCCTTTGTTTGGACTCAGAATTTCTGATTCTAATCACAAGTAAGACCCGTTAATTCATCCTCAGATCATCCTTCCATATTGATCAGACTCTCTCCCTTTCTACTTTTTCTCCCTTTGGTCCAAATGGCATTTGTGCATATTGAAAAACTATACTTTGAACACATTTTCTGAATCGTTTCCTTAAACTGCTCTATGACAAAGTGATGATTCACTGAATGAAATGATTCAGTGGATTTGATGATGCGAACTCAGCGGCTATATAAGTACTCTGTGCCTGTTATATCATTAGCCATGGTTTGAGTGTGAGATGATGCTATACAGAAGTCAAGCAGAGATATTAAGAACTTTAAGGTAAAAATGCAGAAAGTTTGTCACCACTGTGTATGTGCCAGCAGGGTCCAAATCTTTGGGAGGACATTTTCTTTATGGGTAGCCGGCCCTTACCCAGAGTGGTGGATCCCCTTTTTAGGGACATGTTAGGGGGGATGTCAGATATGGGTACTGGTTGGCATCACTCCCTCTTGACCTCTCAGGGATTGGCGAGAACCAGCTCCCCAGAGGTCCCCACATTGAGTTCGGGGTGTCTAGGTGTCTCCCCAGCGTCTTGCTGCCATCAGTTGGTGCTTACCTCGAGCCACCCAAGTGGGCTTGACAGACTCCCGCTAGTACGTCTGTCTCGTAACAATTATCGAGTTGGACCAATGACATGCTAGCAGTGTTTTTTGGGGTGGGACAAGTAGGAAGGACGACAGTAAGAAGTGCCTTTACGGGGCATTAAAAATATGGCTAGGTTGACTAGGTTTTAGCTAAAATAGCGAAAACTGCTCGTGTAAAAAAAGGAGCAAAGAGAAGCACTTGGTGCATTAGTAGATGGGAAAGATGTCTGTGCTTTTCCTCTGACAGGATTTGAAAAAACTTTGATTTATCAGCTTACTCCGCTAGTTGTGAAAATGCTTAAGAAGCTGCAGACGAATCGTATTGTGTACTTATCAACTCAGTTCTACACATATAAATGTGGCAACTGCCAGATTAGGTTCCTTGACCAGGTCTTCATTACTGGGGTTGGCAGGGTTGCAGGGATGGGGTACTTGGTACCCTACATGTGTCAAACTCACATGCTCACATACACCAGTTCAACACAGAGATCATTGTTTCTAAACATACACTCATCCACATCTATGCACCAGCAGGGCACTATAGGTTTTGCCTTCTTTGATGCATGATGGGATTTGGATCCAATGAAGATAATGCAGTTAGGATACTGTCTTGATGTATTCTTTTTAAAAAGCAAACCTGCCCTGACTTATGTGGACAACAATTTGTTATTTACTGTATTCTTGATGCAACACAATTGGACATTTAAAAAAAGGAAAAATAAATTCAGAAAGTTCCCTAGCTGAAGCAGCGGTGTGCATCTCATACTTTTCTTCTCAGAAGCCTGTCCTTATTCATGGTTTCCAGGGTACAGTCTCCACTAGGAAGCATTATAATTGGCAGACATGCTAGGATGACTAAAGAGGAGTCATCTTTACAGGTGTTTGTTGTTCTGCACATAAATAGAATTCATAGGTCCAAAGTGGTATTTGTTCCCCAAATACCAACCTCGCCTTCCTGCAGCCATGAATACTTCGTTTCAGTCAGACTCGAGCAGCAGAATCAAGAGCAAGGTGTTAGCAGAACTGGAGGCAGCAGGTTACAGAACAGCAGAAAATAGCAGTGTGTGTCTCCCCGCTGGGAATGCTGTTGTTACTGCTGGGCAGCAGAAGTTCTTATGATTCGGACACTGGACAGCTGCACACACACACACACACACACACACATACCGCAGGCACCAAGAGAGATGATTTCTGTTCAAGCTCATTTCAGAGACCTCTGCCGGGGGAGAGATAGAGGGGTCTGATCGGTGCACTGTATAGTCAGATAGTCTGACAGGGTAAGAGAGGATTTCCTTTCAATTCCCTTATCTCCCAGCTGAACTTTGACCCTGCAGTAGAGAGATGAAGCAAAGAGAAATGGAAAGACCCTGGGGGAAAGTATTGGTTAAAGAAACGACACAACAAACGAGTAAAGATGAACTTCACGGTTTTATATTTGTCGGCTAAGCTATGTTTATTCTGCATTCTTGAGCAGTAGTGTATTTCTTCTAGTTCATTTTCATCCTCTTTGCAGTCCTTTGTACAGTCACAGCAATATAACAAAACAAATATGGTCTATTTTGCTTTATTCAACAGGGATATTGCTGAATGCATTTTTTGCAGAATTTTTATTCTTATTCACAGGAATTGTTAAAAAAAAAAGTAAAACCAAAGTGATTACTTTAAGCATTAACTTCATCTGATCTGGAAGCTGTGTTATGAAGAAAAATGTGTTTCTTATTGAGGTGACTTCAGGTTGGAATGTTTAGCATCACAGAGATGGTTCACAGCTCTACATACAAAGTCCATCACAATGGTAACTTGGGTTTCCTGTTTAGAGATCAAGCCCCCTATAAGGTGTGCAACCAGTCAATGCACTGAGAAACAGAAAAAAAGGGACAGTGTCTCGACAGCGCAGTCCTTTTTTTTTCTTCCTATTTACCAACTTTTATATTTAAATCTCTGAGAGGTGGCTCAACAGAAAGAATCCCGGTGAAGCTAAAACTGAGACTGATTACTGTCTGGAACTGTTTGACACTAAACATGAGGAACCAACATTGTCGGCTGATTACAACGTCTAGCTCTGAAAAGATATGCTCATCTTTTATTAGTATTTACTGAATGCTGAGCACAACAATCTCTCCAAACCACTCACTACTCTGTCTTTTAAAAAATGTTAACAACCGTAGGACAGGTCTGAAATTTAGCTTCAGCCCTCAGAGTTTAATCCTTTATTTTGTTTTTAAGTAAATGTGACTATTCAATCAACGTTAGATATTTGATAAATACCAGTTCAAATAAGATTTTATCTTATCTTTCTATTAAGGCCATGTTTTATTTTTCTGCCATTTTTTATGAACCATATGAAAATTAGATTAAAGGAGAAGAAACCCAAATAAAACACAGACAAATTCGAAATTACAGAATAGTTTGGGTGAATATAAAAAAGATTTACCAACGTGTGTTCTGAAAGTTGTCTATGTTGGTGGCCCCAGGCCAGCAGGGGCTGCTGAGCACTCCTCAGGATTGTTTTTACTTCAAACTTTAAAAGGATCTTCCGTGTTTGGTTTAGCTGAACTGGTTAAATTAAACCCTGTTTGTTTAATTAGGTTATGGTGCAGTTCTGGTATTGATATTAGAAGCTTCTGGCTCTAAAAGCCCTCTGAAAATCATACGTTTCATTACAATATTTACTGTTATAATTCAGCATATACGGCACATTACAAGAACATTTAAAAAATGGTTTGAACTTTAGTTTTCCTTTACAACAATCAGGTATTTAGCTTCTGATGACACAAACAGAAGTTATTCATGTCAAAACAGATCCAGTAATCCCATTGAACCTATATGAACAGTATCTTTTGAAAGTGGTTTACTGAGAAACCATAATCTCCCCAAAGAGCAGAATTTCAAGACAGTGGAAGCAGCTCTACCTCTGCTACCCATCATGCTTTGTTTCACTTTATCTGCTTCATTTCTAAAGCTGCAGGAAGAAAAGCAGCATTAAGCTCCTACATATTCAAGAAAACGATGTTCCTGAACCAAAAGGCCAAAGCATTAAGATTTGCAATATTTTCAAATGTTTTTCAACACAATGTTCTAGATTTAAAGTAATATTAAATATGTTTTATATGCTTTTAAGTGGCAAGCATAAAAAAATAAAATGTGTTTAAAATTACAATCACAGAGCTGTTTAATTTTGTTGCAGCCTTTTTATGTTGCACCAGATTTAAACTTTGATTTTTGGATTCTTTTCTCTATTACTTTCCTCTTCCTATCATGGTGACTTATGGAAAAGCTTTACGGATTAAGAAAAATTATTTAAAACAGCAATATATTTATTCACTATAGGAAATAATTTGAGCTAAATAAGTTCTCTAAATATTCTTTCAATATAAAATTTGTTTTTATAACACAGCAACAGCTGACCAAAGTGCCTATGCTAACAACAACCATCTTAAAATAACAAATGGAGTAAAAATGTAAAAAGAGTCAATAGATACAGT